AAACAGCTTTTTTTTTTTAAACCCACATTCTCTGTTTTTGTTCACACGGGTGCATAAGGCATCCATGTGTACGTAAACAACGCCACAGGTGTTAGGTATCACAGCAAACATCAGAGCGAGAGCAATCCTTCTGGGACCATAATTTGCTATTAAAGTCACACATTTTTTCATCCCCCCATATGCTGCTTTAAGGACTTCCCTTAAATGATGCCTCTTTATCTGATCATCTTCTTCCTTCCACTCGTATTGAGAAGTCCCCCCAGTGCTGGTGGCGGTCTCATATCCAGCACAGACTCCTCGTGTCCTGCTGTGTCTGTCCAACGTGCACGCTCCCGGCTGCGTGCATTCACCTCCACTGTGTCTCCTCTCCACGCCAAAGATCTCTACTGTGCATGCGCCCGCCCCATCCCCATCATAATGCTCGGCCGCTCGAGAAGCTCCAGATCTTCAGACGTGAGCGAGCGGCGGAGACGCAGGTAAGTTTGAACCTTTTTGGTAACTTTTTTATTTTTTAAAATGTTTTTGCATATATCCACAGCTTGCTAACTGTGGATATATGCAAAAACAAACAAACAACCGAGTGTTTAATTCTACTTTAACTCCACTGATGAGCAATAAAGGATTTTGAAGCATCGCATATGGACAGTTATGAGTAAAATTAATTTTAGTGTCTATTTTTCCTAAAAATATTGATTTAATAAACATTTGCGCAAATACCGTGCGACATTAAAAATTCACCTATCACTTTTTTTATGTTACAGGGCCTCTGCTTTCAAAAAATATATAATTGTTTGGGGGTTGAAATTCATTTTCTATCAAAAAAATAGGATTTTAACGTGTATCAAGGCAACTGGACTTGCTGTATTTTTCTTGAAGACGTTTCACTGGACATCCAACCAGCTTTCTCAATTCAGAGACAGATATACCATGACCTGGATGAATGAGAACCTTCACAGACATAGATTTTAACATGAGTAAAAAAAAAAAAAAGGTACTAAGGTGGTTAAAAGACCAAAAGGGAGCAAATAAGAGAAGTTCATTATTGGGCCTCATTCACACTGCCGCACGTATTGTACCATATGCAACAAATGCAAATAAATGGCTCCATACACACATTGCCGCGTATGGAGCCGTATATTTGCGTAGCGTATATATGCGCAGAAACAGAATGGAACAGAGATGCGTCCGGGCAGCGTATTTCTGCGTATATATGCGCTTACATGCGTACAGCACATTACAAATTCCATTACGAGTGATGCATTCTGGGATTGCATATAGTGCACGCATAGACGCGTGTATGCGCAATATACAATTTTGCTTGCATTGTGTATGAATGAGGCCTTAGGGTTTATATAGACTTTAAAAGTATCGTTCTTTATTCTTCAGAGAAAAGGGAATGATCTGTCCAGGGGCGTCCCACGGCTGGGTGTCACTCCGCTGTGACGTCGTCACGTATGCGCAACCATCTAATTGATACCTGCCGGCGGCCGTCTTGGTAATGGACGCCGGCCGAGAGAGGAGGGGACGTTCACCCGGCAGAATGAGGTATGCCGCCGGGTCCCCTCCTCTCTCCATGACCGAGTTCCCGACTTCTTAGAGGGGGTGACACCAAAATGACTGTTAGTCATTTTGGCATCACTCCTCCAATGGTGAGACCCGGTTGCGGGTCGCACCCCCCGCACACCCCCCTTGTGACGCCACTGGATCTGTCATTTGTCGCAGAGATTTCCATTGTGATGGGAAATGTTTGCACAAGGAACGGTAAAGGTTTTCGTGCTCATTGTTGCTCTGGTTTTCACCCCTTTATTGCCCAATGGTCACCAGCAGAGCCACGGCTGTTCACATGCTTGATGTAGGGATGCCTTGTCACACTCCTTACCTGATGTCCCAATTATTGGGGGGGGAGTGGGGGGTGCTTGTAGTGACAGCAAATGGCGCCACCAATAGCAATAATTGTTTAAGAAATGTCACAAGCACACCAAAGTCCTTTAAGGATCATCGAGTGTTCATTTATTCAGAAACAAGTGCTTTCGGGGCCATACAGAGTCCCTTCATCAGGCTTTGCATTGACCATGGCTATCCTTAAAGGACTTTGGTGTGCTGGTGACATATTTGTTGCCTGATCTAATTTCCAGTACATGAATAATTATGGTTTGAGCCGCTGTTAGCCTTGCCTCTGTGTCACGGGTTATCCTCAATCCGTCAGCACATTCTGAATCCACATACGGAATATACGGGTCTGTTTACTCATGCATGAATGTATGGAATCTAGGAAGGGATGGCTGCAGCTGGTGTGGGTGACTTTACAGTCTGGATGCACAGCTGGGTTGCAGATTATATGATGTTCTAGCTGCGGCGATGATCACACAGAATCCAGGACAAAAAATGATTACAAGGATGTCTCCGTTTTCTGATACATTGATGCGGAACTGACCCAATAAAAATAGATCTGCTTTAGAACATTATCCTTAAAAGATAACTGTACTTCTGAACAGTAACTCTTCAATATATCCAAGAATGCCAAGGAACTTTGGAAATAGAACTTCTGATTTATCTTTCCATTTACTCACATGCATTGTAAATATTGATGGGTTTATATTTGGCTTGTCTGCCTCTGCACTGTAAGATAATGACTGAGAACAAGGAAGGCAGTTGCTCCATGTACCTGTATGACTCCGGGGCTGTTTAACCCCTTCATGACTGAGCTTGTTTTTGGTTTCTGTTCGTAAATGACTGACGCACTTTTGACATTTTTGCTGTGTGATTCTTCCACGTCAGTAATATACTTTCTTACAAAGTGCACCCACACATATTATATATTGTTTTTTAGAGGACAGATAGGGCTATATATTTATATCACATATGTGTGTCTAACGCCTCACTTAGGACAAATACAAATTAAAAAAAGAGGAAAAAACGTAAAAAAAAACTTTTTTTCCCAGTTTTGATTTGTAGTATTTTTTTTTAACAAAACCAGCACAGCTAAAAAAAAATGCAATACATACATTCATTTATTTGTCCCTTATTTTTAATTTTTTTACACTTTTCACTATTTTTTTTAATTTATTTACACTTTTCACTTTTTTTATACTGACAAATTTTATTTATTTAATTATATCAAGCAGTCATTGTGAATTAATCTCACTATTACTGCTTGATAAATTAATAAATTTTTGGTTATTATCAGGCTGCTTCAAACTTCAGAACAGCCGATAATAAGTTAGTGACACTGATCCTGCAGCAGTTCAGGATTCAGCTGTTACTAAATGTTTTCTGATTGTTGCAACAACGATCAGCAAACAAACATTCTTCTTCCAGGAATAGATACATTGTAGGAATAGACACATTATGTATCTATTCATGAAAAAAAAAAAAAAAGCCAGTATAGCTTGAGAGAGATATCTCTCTCCATCTATACGAGCTGTCAGAATGCCGGCCATGTGTGTCCGCTCTGCTGTGACTCTCAGACACCCGATATTAAGGTATCGGGTGTCTGAAAAAGGTTAACCCTTTCATTAATGGATGCCTAGATAGTTAGACATCCATTACTGAATGGTAACCGCTGATTCTCAGCGGTTACCAGCCTTCTAGTGCAGCAAATAACTCGTCGCGTACAGTGTACGTGACAAGTCATTTGGTCCCTTTGTGGCGGGACGTACAGTGTACGTCTCCCGTCACAAAGGGGTTAAACTATTACTTTGTATTAAAAAGCATGTGCTAATGCAGGGGTGGGCAGCTTAGGCCCTTCAGCTGTGATAACCACACGTAACATCTCTCTGCCTCTGGGAGTCGTGGCTGTTAGAATCCTGCAATGTCTCATGGGACTTGTAGTTTCACAACACCTGGAGGGCTGAAGTTGCCCACCCCTTTGTTTACGCAATGCACAGTATGGCACCAAGCACAGTGCAATTCGTTAAGGTGTCATTCATTTCTAATACACCCCAGTGAATCATGAAAATGCACCTCCATGATGCACATTTTGCATTGTCATGCACGGCAAAGAAACAAGCAGGCGTGATTTCCCAAAAGGAATGCATGGTTGTAACGCAGCAAGCTTACTCTATGCAAAGTGGGGCAGAAGAAACTATGCAAAGTGAGGGGAAGAAGGATCAATGCTAGGTAAAGGGAAGAAGGGTCCATGTTACAAAAGGGGAAGAAGGGTCCATGTCACATAAGGGGAAGAAGGGTCCACGTCACATAAGGGGAAGAAGGGTCCATGTCACATAAGGAGAAGAAGGGTCCATGTCACATAAGGAGAAGAAGGGTCCATGTCACATAAGGGGAAGAAGGGTCCATGTCACATAAGGGGAAGAAGGGTCCACGTCACATAAGGGGAAGAAGGGTCCATGTCACATAAGGAGAAGAAGGGTCCATGTCACATAAGGAGAAGAAGGGTCCATGTCACATAAGGGGAAGAAGGGTCCATGTCACATAAGGGGAAGAAGGGTCCATGTCACATAAGGGGAAGAAAGGTCTATGCCAGGTAAGGGTCATAAGGTTCCACGCTAGATAAGGGGCAGAATGGTACATGCTGGGTGAGAGGCAGAATGGTCCATGCCAAGTAAAGGGCAGAAGGATCTATGCTGAGTGAGGAGGGGCAGAAGGGTCCATGCTGGGTGAGGGCCAGAATGGTCCAGGACCGGTAGGGGGCAATAGGGTCCATGCCAGGTAAGGATCAGAAGGGTCCATACCAGGTGAAGGGCAGAAGGTTCTACGCCAAGTAGGGGACAGAAGGGTCCATAAAACGTAAGGGGCAGATGGGTCATGCAAGGTGAAGGTTAAAATTATGCATGCAGGGTAAAGAACAAAACATGTGCTGGGGTTAGAGGAAGATTGTCCTCTAAGAAGGCTGACAGTTTTTTAGGCCAGGGTTGCAGTAAATCTCTGCCGTTTAGGGAAGTAAAATAAAATGTTGCATAAGGATATATTTAAATGTATGTGGCTTTAGAAGGCCTGAGAATGTGCCTCATGTTTCTTTTATTGTTATGTTTGTGTTTTAGGGATGGATCGGGGACATCGGAGGTGCATCTACTACTACCAGTGGGAACAACATCAAGTGTGGACGCAGTCGTATTGTCTATAATACTGACAGTGCTGGTAGGTCCATTTGACTTATGTAACAACCACAGGACATGATACTTTAGTTACTGGAGGTATAAAAAATAAGACCCTCCCTGTAGCTGAAATCTCAATTGTGGGTGGACTAACCCTTTAAGACCTTTTTTTTCAGACTCAGTAGGCTATTGCTGTTCAAAGTCTTCGGGTGAAATAGTTTTGTTCTAACAGGATGCAAATTTTGTCGGACCAAAAACATTCCGATCACCTCAAAACATTTGAAGGCAGAATCAGACTGTATTAGCTGCTGACGGCAGGTTGTCTATTTTTGTTTTTCCTCATACTTTCTCCCTTCTCATCTAACTCTTTTCTGCTTACCTAAAGAGTCAGCACAACAGTTGCAGCTGCTTTGTGGCTGGCTTTGTCTGACTGAAACCTCAGAGTGAGCCATCTAATACGAAATGAGTTACTGTAATGAGTCGCTCAATTCTGTGTGCAAATTACAGCTTGAGCTACAGAGCTCTGTAAGCAAACTGCTTATCAGCCTTTGGAAGACATGTGGACAGGAGACTAAATGATACAGAATATTAATGTGCAATATTTGACATTTACTTTCCTATATAGTGGCAGTGCGTGGCTATGCCACGGTGTAGTATGGCAACTTTGGCGCCCAGGACTCTCAGCCAGAGGGGCTGAGAGGTTCCACAATGTGAATACCTTTGGAGAGGAGGAACTGGCTGTTCAATCCCTTCCAGGTTTTCCAGACTATAGTGGGATGGGATCTCCAGTCCTGGGGCCAGGTGTTGCCAGTGACCAGGTTTAGCTGATCAGGTGGCTGAGAGCAGCCTTATTAGGAAGCCAGCCCAGTGCTTTAGAGGAGAGTTGTGGGTGTGCAAGAGGCACACAACGACAGGCAGACTCTGCTGCGTGCGTGAGCACAAGGGACACAGCCAGGAAGGCTAGAGAGGTCCAGAGGGTCCGTGACCCTGAGATACCTGTCGGGGAGACAGAGAGGGACGGTGACCCACGAGGGGTGGATACTGAACCGCTTGGAGCTGAGGAAAGCTGCTGAGCAGTGCTGTCTGATGTTTCCCTATACAGTTTTCTTGCTGTCTGCTGATAACACAAAGCAGGCTAACTCAGATATCGGGGCTTCAGACCATGTTTTAGGTTTTGGTCAGTTCATATTTTGGTGATCAGAATACAGTTCTCTCTTCTAGTTGGTAGGGCTGTGATGTAATCTTCTGTGTAGGCCGCAACACTCAGCCCATTGTTATAAATGGTTACACCATCTGGTAGTGGGATGCTTAGTAACAGCATTTCCTGTCATCTTTTACACAAAGCAAAAATATTAAATGAACAAGCTTAAGAGTCGTCCTCGTCATAGGAGGATTAGAGCAGAACTCTGGGGAAAATGTTCTTAACCCTTGCAGTGGGGCTACCCCCCGCACTGGATGGGCCAAGTGCTTGGTTTTGTCTAGGTTAAAAAATTACAAAGTTATACTCACCTGATCCACCGAGCCAGATTGCTCTTAGACCGGTCCCTTCCACCTGTCTTTTCCTCTGCTGCAGTGATGGTATGCACCTCAGTGTCCTCGCATCCTATACACTCTGTATAGAACGTGATGATTTATGGGACCTTAGACCACTGCAGCAGAGGGGGCAGAGAGGCTGCAGGGATCGGTCTAAGAGCAAACCGGGGTCCTGGTAAGTATACCTTTTTATTTAATTTACCTAGACAAAAACTAGCATTTAACCTATGCACTGCTGGGGTAGCCCCACTGCAAGGGTTAAGAAAAATATTCCCCAGAGTCCTGTTTTAAGGAGCAGACATATAACATGCAGTTAGAAACAGGCACAGTCCGACTGCTCTCCAGCACCTCGGCCCCCATGGGGCACCTAGACACAAACGCTTAGCGGGGTGCAGCATAGTGGAGCGGCCGGAGCTATGGAATACCTGCTCAACTCCAGTTCGGGGCATGCCCCCCAAGGTTTTTTAATTTACTTACGCTTTTTATCAGCTTGCTTATGGCTGGTCACATGACACACAGGGTCCTCTTAATTTTTTTTTTATCAGGCGGTAGGCTGGCCTGGATAATGCAGAGAGTGATGGAGACATCAGCATCAGTCTCTACAGCACTGTGAACCTGGGCCAGCATCATGGACACACCCCTTGTGGGTGCATTATGCTGTCCTGTGCTCACAGGAAGTGGGTTGAGTGACAACAGGCATATTCTACTTGGGAGAGGGACAGCACTGGACCACGGGGCTGTTGCAGGGGACAGTGGCGGGGATAAGGTGACTATTGCACTAAGAACTGATTTTATTTTTTTTAAATCTTCATCTAATCTGGGTTATTGATTTAAACAAAAATAAGTTGAGGGCTCTTTAAAATAACACAAGAAGTGTGCACAAGACCTAGGACAGTGCTGCACTTCTGATATATTAAACAGCCCAAAAGGGAGCAAATAAGACAAGTTCATTGTTGGGGTTTACATGCACTTAAAATTGTGTTTTCTCTATGTGCCGCTCAGCTTTAAAAGGTCTGTTTATAGGTGCTGGTGTGTTTTAGAATGTGTTCTTCAAGATGCTTTTACCTGACTTGTATTCAAGGAGACTGGAATCTGATTGTCTGTCTGATATTGGAAATACTTTTACTTTATCATGGTGCTGTTTTTCATATAAGACCTTCTGTGATTTAAGGGGTGCTGGGGATCACCTCCCTCCAGGTGGAGCAAGACAAGAAAACACCGTCTCGCCTGCACTGCCACTCAGGTGAGTTTTGGATATTTGTAATGCAACCTGTCATCTGTCATAATGCAGAAGGAGCATGTGGATACTTCTCTTTCCCGCTGACTAAGCCACCACAATGCTCTGCTCCTCAGAAATTCCCGAGTGAAGTGTAAAAAGAAACTGACACTTTTGGGAGTGCCGGTCTCCTGGGTTCCCCCTGCGGTGTTCATTGGTTTTCCCCTCTGGCCTTCACATCACTAGTCTTATAATGAGTGAACCATTAAACACTGAAGGGGAACAAGTATCCAATTGTTTCTGCTACAGGTATGGCTTGTTTGCATTGGTTAAAATCTATTTTCTTAAAAATGTCACTTGTAAATGGTCTTGCACATCTTTGTATTATGATCACATTTAAGATTGTAAACAATCATTTTCTAGAGTTTGCAAGTTTCGCTATCTGGTCTGTATATTCCTTGTATTGTGTGTGTACTGTGTATTCTGGAATTATCATATTTATGTATCCAAAGATAGCAGAGGTTACTTTTTTATTCATGTTGGTATCATTACCTCTGAAGTCTTACACTTCCAAAGTACTTGTGAAATTACCAAAATACTTTATTATTTTAAGCAACACAATACAGAAATAAAATACCTATAAACAGTTGTAAACAAGACACTAAGTATGCAGAGGCATGGTGCACTAAGTTGGTCCGGAAGCTGGCCAATCAGGAAGCCAGGCAGTGAGTCATTACATATCCTCCGGCTTCCTGATTGGCCCGGAAAGCCGGTTCCATGCTTCCTTGTCACCTGGTGATGAGGGAGCATAGAGACGGCTTCCTGGCTAATCAGAAAGCTGGGCGGCGAGTCATTACACACTGCCCAGCTTCCTTAATGGGACTTCTGGTATCAGTATTGCGTATTGGTGAGTATCAAAAAAAAAAATATCGGTACTCTGCATGCACCGAAAAAACGGTATCGGTGCATGCCTAGTTCTTAGTATATTGTCTTTTCAATTTGATTGTAATGTAATACTGCATCATGGCCACTAGATGGAGCTGATGATCATAGGAAATGCATACTTTTGTCCTGTGCTCCTCAGCTTCATCTAGTGCTCATAATTCAGTATTACATTGAAAATACACTAAGAACGTTCAATTTTGCCCCTGTTTGCACAGACCAAACGTTCACAGAGATTCACAGGATGAATGGCCCTGCAAATGTTCACAAATAGTTTATTGTACATCTCCCATCACACTCCTGACTGATAAATCCTAAATGGTCTGTGGTGGGTGCTGTAGTGACAAGTAGATGGCACTGCACATAGAACAACTACACCATCACACACATGCACATAAAGGTTGAACTTGATGGACCTGTGTCTTTATTCAACCTCAAATACTATGTAACTATGTAACTACCCACTCCGCCTGTGACAGGAGCCGGCGCTAAAGAGGAGGCATCGGCTTATGCGGCTCTGCTCCCTCCGCTGCCGCCTCGTTTCCTCTAGCGCTGGCTTCGTTGGCACCGCTGATTCTCTCCCGCTTCAAGTTCCCCCTTATGCCACCACCGGCCCTGGCAATGGTCACAACTAGGTCTTATATTCGGGGTAGGTCTTATATTTTAGCAATTCCCAAAAATAGTAATAGGTCTTATTTTCGGGGTAGGTCTTATTTTCGGGGAAACAGGGTAGAAGATAAGTCACTGACACTCCAATCTATTTCTCAAACGCGTCTTTATTGACGCTTGTTCATAGTATCTGAAAGTAAACAATGTTTCGGGGCCACACTGGGTCCCTTCATCAAGCAAACAACATTGCTTTCTTGATGAAGGGACCCTGTGTGGCCCGAATTGTGGTTTCTTTTATGATGCTATGAACAAGCATCAATAAAGACGTGTTTGAGAAAAATCTTGTAGTGCCAGCGACTTATCTTCTAATTGTTCATAAATAGGTCTAAGTATTCAATTTGGAAAAAGTAAATGGTTAAAATATACCTGAACCCAATAATAACAACTCCTTGAAAGGAAACGTCTCAGAATTTTGCCAACAATCAGTTTATTATGTAACATATTAGGATGTAATTTAATGTCAAAATCATTTTCTAGTGTTGCAGGTTTCACTCTGCGGTGTATATATTTCTTGTATTTTGTGTGTTGAGTGTATTCTTATCTATCCAGAGAGAGAGGTTACTCCTTTTATTCATGTCAGCCTCATTACCTCTGAAGTCTCACACTGAAGTGAGATTACCAAAATACTTTATTAGGATATAATGTAATGTCAAAATAATTTTCCAGTGTTCTATATTGGGATGTCATGTAATGACATGTTAGAATGGAAATGATTTTCTACCTTCCAATGTTCTAAATTATGTTTTTTCCTTTCCCTCATTCCTGTCTCTTCTCTCGCTCCCTCAGATGTGGTGACAGACTTTGCCTTCTCACCTTTTGATGACAATCTCCTGGTCACAGGATCTGCTGACCAAACAGTGAGTAGGAACATTTTAGCTGTTCATTTACCTCTTGTCTTCCTTGTTTGCCATGTTAAAGGTCAACTCCAGTCAACAGGTAAAGCCAATCAGGGATCTGCTATTGCTGTACTTTATTTACCATGTAGAGCACTGGTTAGCGTTAGGACCTCTGTAAAGTTTTAATGTAATCTATTTCCCAGTCAAGGAAGTTATTCCTCACTTGACAAGAATTACCTGGACAGGAAGTGAGAGGAGACACAAACTTGGCCAATATGTAAAGGATTTCACTTTACCTGCGTTTTATATATTGTAACCAAATTCGTAAGTGCCTGTGTCCATGGGATTTTGTATGCTTCAAAGGGGGTTTGCATTTCTTTACAAGTCTATGGGTTTGCAAAATCTACGTGAAGCTGGTCAAATGCAGGTCTAAAGGAGATCAAATGCAGGTTAAATTAAGGTCATCATATACTCAATTGGTGATCAAATGCAGGTCAGAAGATGGTCAACTTGCGAGTCAAATGCAGGTCAGAAGATGGTCAACTTGCGAGTCAAATGCAGGTCAGAAGATGGTCAACTTGCGAGTCAAATGAAGGCCGGAAGATAGTCGACTTGCGAGTCAAATGCAGTTCAGAAGATGATTAACTTGCGAGTCAAATGAAGGCCAGAAGATAGTCAACTTGTGTGGGCCTGGGACCAGCCCCGTGTGTCTCTGCTGCTGGACTTCCAGTACCTGATCTCACCTCAGCTTACCGAATCCGGAAGCGATTAGGATTTTGTTACTTAGTTTCAGGCTGTCATTACTCTGACCACTGTAGCCAGAGAAGAAGCTGGTGAAGCTTAATCTATGCTCCATCGCTCCATCAGCTTCAGTGAGGTCCATAGGTGACATTAGGGGTTCTGTTGTGTCCATTAGGAGGACCGGGCACTTCCACTTATTAGCCCTCTATGTGATAGCAATAAAGGTTAAAAAAAAAAGTTTAAAACAAATTAAAGTGACATGTAATAAATGAAAAAAAACAAATGTTAAAGCCACCCCCATGTACACATACTTACAAAAACAAACACACACCGGGTGCGCCAATGTGTGAAAACAATGATTGTGCCACTCATGCTACATATCGCCACAAATGTTGGAGTGAGAGCAATAATTCTAAGGCCATCACTCACTGTTAACTCTAAATTGATGAGCGGTATAGGCTCTAGGATCTCCAATACTTCAATACTAAAACAGGGGCTGCAAGCGTGGGGTTTCCCACCCACCAATGCCAGATCTTCTCAAACTTTTGAGACCTACCTCTGCAGGTATACAGTAGATTCAGCTTTCCAAATGCAGGGTGGAGTTTAACTTTTCTAGCCAAATGTGTGCAGTAGGGGGTTGAGGGTAGTGTGATAGTTTTCCTGGCCAGACATAGACTGCTGGTTACCACTATCTTTATATGAGGGTCATCAGAGGAAAGCTCCAATATTCCCAGTATACCCATCTTTGGCTCATGTAAACAGCATTGGAACACACAGTTAATAGTATCAAATACATCATGGCAGTACCAGATACATTTTGTGTATCTCCAGAACGTGTGAATAAGATCCCCTTGTCCTGAAGTACATCTAAAGCACAATGGGCAAAAGAATAACTGAGTAAATCTCATGGAGGGGAATATTTATACCTGGGGTATTCTGTGCAGTGCTTCAAGCCATTGTTTGTCCGTTTGATTGAACTTTACCTAAAATACTGCACACTGTGAGATGATGTTTTTTTAGAGATCGTAATATATACAAGTGAGGGATGGGGCTAAACATCTACTGTATATATACATTTAAATAGAGCTCTTGCATCTCCTATTACAAATATTCAATGACACTACTTTTACCCTCAAAAAAGATCCCTGGGATCTCCTTTTGGAGGCTAAAGGTAGTTTCATTTAATTTTTTAGAGATTGGTATAGCACAGTGGCGTAGTGGTTAGCACCCCTGCCTTGCCGCTCTGGTCCCCTGTTCCAATCCTGGTCAGGACACTGTCTGCAAGGTTGTATGTTCTCCCTGTGCTAACGTGGGGTTCTTCAAGGTACTCCGGTTTCCTCCCTCATTCCACAGACATGCTGAAAGGGTAATTGGCCCTGTATGCATGTGAGATAGGGACCTTAGATTGGGCGCTCCTTGAGGCCAGGGACTGATGTGAATCTGCAGTATGTAAAGGTGCTGCATAAATCAGAAGTGTTATATAAATACCTAGAATAAATAAATAATAATAATTAGAGATGCACCGATACTAGTATCGGTATCAGTGCCGATACCGAGTATTTGGGCGAGTATTCATACTCGTCCAAATGATCCGATACTTACCCCTGATACCAGAACTTCTTGTCAGAGGGAGATTTCCTCTGACCGGTGGTGCTGTGAGGGAACATGGAGCCGGCTTCCCGGCCATTTAGGAAGTCGGGCAGCAGGTAATGACTCGCCGCCCGCCTTTCTGATTGGCCGGGAAGCCGGCTCCATGCTGTTTGGCCGGTTCAATGCTAATTGGCTGGGACGCTGGCCCGGGCAATCAAGAAGCCGTGCGGGAAATAATGACGAAATGAAGCTGCTTTGGGGAATTGTGTTGGGGAGCAAGCCTCTGAGACTGAGGAATAAGGAAAGTATTTCTGCTTATTCCTTTACCCACTAGACAAAACGGGTATTTAACCCTTGCAGTGTGGAGGAGGGCCCACTGCAAGGGTTAACATTTGTTTTCCCTGGAGTCCTTTAAAGGGGCACCCTTTTCCATCATTACTGTACATTTGTAGTGGCTCTGTGTTATCCAAAATCTAACTGTGCTTTGTGGTCTTCTTTTCCTTGTTTTGCAGATCAAGTTGTGGCATTTGACAGAAACTGGACTTGCAGCTGACCCAAATGGGACACTGGCAGTGACAGGGGGGCAAGTAAAGGCTTTGCAGTTTCACCCCTCAGCTGATGCCCTACTGGTCTCTACAGCTGGAAAATCTGCTCAGATCTGGGATCTCTCCAGAGAAATGTCCCTTGCAGGTATCTGTTGTCAACAGCTGTTAAGAAAATGAGAACACACTTAAAAGCCGAACTCCAGGAAAGAAATAGTGTTCTTAAGTTTTGCATTGAGGCTACCCCCGCACTGCAAGGGTTAAGTGCTCGTCTTGCTCTTAGACCAGTCTCTGGAGCCTTTCTCCTCCTCCACTGCAGTGGTCTGAGGATCGGGAGTTATCACGTTCTATACACAGTGTATAGGATGTGAGCAACCAAGCGACATACTATCGCTGTAGCATAGGAGAAGGCAGGCTTCAGGGACTCAAGTAGCAGCCAGCCGGCTGCAAGGTTTGGGTGAGTATAACTTTTTTTTAAGCACCTAGACAAAACGAGCATTTAACCCTTGCAGTGCGGGGGTAGCCCAACTGCAAGGGTTAAGAAAATTTTTACCCGAAATTCTGCTATAAGCTGCACTCTTGTCAAACTTAAAAATGTAGCATGTAATGTGACTGTTTCTTAAAAAAAAAATAAAGCTTTGAGCAGTCCAGACACCTTGAGGTAACTAGAAACACAAAGCGCACAGCTGACCCTATCATGCGTCCTTGTAATACACATTCGGTGTTCTCTTCAGGAGTGATAGGCTCAAAGACTGTAGAACCAGCACACGCTGATCTTCCAAAGAAATTCAAACTTTATTCCACATGCATCTATACAAAGCACAACTGCTGACGCGTTTCTGCCTTACGCGGCCTTAGGCTAGCTATGACTAAGGCCGAGTAAGGCAGAAACGCATCAGCAGTACTTTGTATAGATGTAAGTGGAATCAAATTTGAATTTCTTTGGAAGATCATCGTGTGCTGGTTCTACAGTTTTTTTTAGACACCTAGAGGTGCCTTTTTTTGAAGAGACAGGGTCACTGTATATGGACTTTATGGGTCACCTAACTGCTATTCCCCTATAGCTGATAGTATTCATCTCTGATTCACTCCAATTCTTTGCAGATATAGTCCAATGTGTTCTTTGGTCTAAATGCCATAAAACAGCAGTTTATCACCTAGGAAGCTTTTACATTTACAATGAAATTTAAAAAAGGCAAAATGTATACTTTGTAACGTTATCGATTAAAAGGAATTATATAATAGAAAGAAATTAAATAAACTAAATCAAAATAGGATTTGACAAATGTCGCAGCTAAGTGACATGATCAATATTGTAAATAGTTAAAGGAGAACTATGAGGTGAGTGATTTCCACTCACCCTCATAGTTCGAGCTGACGTGTGGCAATGAAACTGTCACAGGTCGGCTCAATAGATTAGGGAGTGAGGGAACACATACCGTCGCTTGCTCACTTCTCGATCATCTCCCTGCAGAGAGTGGTGACTGTCAGTCACGGCTCCCTGCAGGGATTCCCCACTCCGATCCTCCAGGCAGAGCCCACTGTCACTCGCGCAGCTGGGTGGATCTCGACAGCATTGTCAGGATCCATCCCGGGCTGCAGCGGTCTCAGTATGCCGCGAGCTGTAGCTCGCGATATACTGAACTTTGGGTCATGGGAGGACGCCAGTATATGTCCTCCTGTGACCCTTAAGAGAACTATGGGGAAAACCACTTACGCCATAGTTCTCTTTTTTTATTTTTTATGGCATTATAATGCTGGTTTAGGCAATGAAGTGTGTTTTGTACCCTCACCAAGTGACCCTTGTGTCTCCCTTCTCTTTCCAGCATTGGATAATCACAATGACCTTGTGCAGAGCATCTGCTGGAGTCAGGATGGTGTGCTGATAGCAACTACAGCCAAGGCATGTACACCGATTTTTCTTATAATGTTGTTTTTTGGGGTCACTCTTCATATCTGTGTAGTTTACCTCATTGGATTTCATTGGAATGGGTTGTTTCTGCAGGGCTTTATACTATGATTGCAGTAACACAGACATCTGCTGCCTTTCCTGTCTCTTTTAATCAGCCTCTTGATGTAAAGAGTCTGAAGCATTATCAGCTCTATCTATTACTGGAACCCGCCAGTTAAATCATCATAGCGGCTGGTTTCTCCTTTCTGTATTGTAGAGATGGGAAATGTTTGAGGGGTAAAAGAAGAACTCCAAGCAGAAATTCTATGAACCCTTGCAGTGGGACTACCCCACCGTACTGCAAGGGTTAACTGCTCGTTTTTTGGTCTAGGGTAAGAAAAAAAAGTTATACTCACCCAAACCCCCAAGCTGACAGCGTTCCGTCCAGCCTGTCTCCTCCTCCACTGCAGCTATGGTATAGCCCCTGTCGCTTTTATGTCCAATACACTGTATTGGAAGTGATGACTTGAGGATTCCTACAGCGCTGCAGAGGAGAAGAGCGGAAGACACGCTCTAGGGACCGGTTCGGAGCTGCCTGGCTCGGAGGTTTAGGCGAGTATAAATTTTTTGACCCTAGTCAAAAATTAGCGATTAACCCTTGCAGTGTGGGGGTAGCCTCACTGCAAGGGTTAATTACATTTCTGCCTGGAGGTCTTCTTTAACAATACTGTTAAAGTGGAACTAAATCCGCAGTGGGTCCCCAGGGCTTTTGTCTTCACGTGAAAGTATGAACAGAAAATGTGCACGTTATGCAGAGTTACTTACCAGTGTGTCCTCCTTCAATGATGTGATGGCCATGATCCAACTGACATCTTTGCCTGGTCTTCCGAGTTTGGTGTTTTCGGCCATCACTGGTTGACTTAAAGTAGCATTAAACTCCCCATACTTTTTTTTAGTAAGGAATGTGTTGTTTCAGATAGGGATGCACCGATAGCGATACATGTATCGGTGCCGATACTGAGTATTTGGGCGAGTACTCGTACTAACCCAATTGCTCCCGATGCCTATTTCGATACTGGAATGTTTGGTATCAGGAAGCCGGGCAGCGAGTCATTACACTAGGGAGCATGGAGCTCGCTTCCCAGCCAATCGGGAAGCCAGGTGACATGAAATGACTCGCTGCTCGCCTTCCTGATTGGCCGGTGACGAAGGAGCATGGAGCCGGCTTACCGACCAATTAAAGACCCCGGGCACTGTGTAATTACTCGCCTCCCAGCTTACCGGCTAATCAGGAAGCCGGGCGGCAAGTCATTACACACCGCCCAGCTTCCTTAATGGGACTTCCGGTATCAGTATTTGGCAGTGGCGAGCTGCAAACAAAAAATATCGGTACTCGAAAACCGAAAAACCGATATGGGCGCCTCCCTGGTTTCAGATGACGTGTGCTATTCTGAGCAAATAGATTCATCTTTCATTATCCCATACTGCACATATGATATGTAAAATCTGATCAGTACCCAATTCATCACTGTGTTCCCACTGGACAGGAAATGAAAGCAAACTTCCCGATATGGGGCACAGACATCAGTAAAACCGTAATAAAGGGTTTAACCCTTTCCCCGCTGTCCAAAACGGAAACAAATTGTAACAAGTTAATCTGTTATGTTCCCATTTCTTCTGTGATGTGACTGGTCTCTAGTGAATTGATATGCTGCATTTTTATCAGCTACAGCAAAAATTAATTTTTCCTTTGCATCGAATGTTACTTTTTCTTTGTGAGACATGAATCCAGTTGGTTTAAAAGACAATAAAAATCTGTCAGTTGCTAGTTCATGATGTGATGTAAAAATGTACAATAAACATAAGCAATCATATAAATGAGAGAAAAGACCAGACTCGACATGAAATCTGTACATTATGGGGTTTGACGTTACGCGCTTAGATCCAGCAGGGGGCGCTCATAGTACATGTGATGGCGCCACTGATGCCATTTGCAGTTTTTTTCTGCTTTTAAACAATTAAAATGTAAACAATGAACACAGAATTAAAGGAAACTTTTTGAAGTTGCAATTGCTGACTTCTCATTCTGTAAATGCTAGTTACCTGGCTTTAATGCTGACCCCCCCCGGCATAAAGATCTGCTTATGCGTGCTTAGTCTAGACGCTATTGATGCTAGTGGGTCGGCATAAAAGCCAGTAAACTAGCATGTTCCAAAGACCTCCATGTTTCTCTTACGCAGGTTTTCTTTAAGCACTTTTGGACTAGTGATTATTACTATGCAGGATTTATATATTGCCAACAGTTTGCTTAGTGTTTGCAAAATGGAAGAAGACAGTACAGTTACAATAAAATGTCAATACAGGAGAGTTAGGAGGGCCCTGCCTATGAGAGCTTACAATCTAGTAGGAATTATGGTTGTCATTACTTACGGTATGAAACAATAGATGTACATTGTTTGTTTTCTTTTGGCAGTATTGTGTGGTATATTAATGCTTTTATGTTCTGTGAGATCACAGAGCAAGCCTGTAGTCTGCAGAGAACAGGTGCTGCAATAGTGATGACTTACCTTGACTTCTGCCCAGGTTAAGATGAAAACATCTTCTGGCACTAAGCTCACTTCTATCATTCAATCTACTGATGTCATAACCTCAGTGGGTAGTAGAGGCTCCGGCATTTGGTGTAGGAAAGGGGTTAGGACCTAGTCTTGATTTGGGAAGAAGACTATACCCTGTTTACGGCCTGGGTTTGAGATCCAAGTGGTCTCCACTGGGATATAGGATTTTTAAAAATTATTATTAACTTAATTAATTTATGTTTTTTTTTTTTTTTTAACTCTCTGGAGTTCAGCTTTAATTTTTTATCAAATAAGAACTTTAGTGAAGTTGTCCTTTTAAAAAAACGCTCACCGACCCTCCCTCTTGAATGCAGCCCACCTGAGATAACATAACCTTTCTCCCCAATTCATTGATCTTTTCTCTTGCAAGGCCAACCCGTCTTCATGCTGCAGATGCACACGGCAGCCCCATGTAGTCCTAGGGGTAAACCATACTCCAAGGGACCACAACTGGAGACCACCAACAGTACACCTTACCCATAGGAATGAATGGGGCTGCGGTGTTCATGAATAGTATAAAGAGGAGCTGCTGAATCAGGCAGAAAGGTGAGTATCATCTCTGGTGGGCTGCACTCAGGGGGATGCCAATCTCCTAAGGTTACCTATGGTTATTAAAGGACAACTTAATTAATGGTAAAGTTTTCCTTTACCATGATGAAGCTGGATGACTACAATCAAGATGCTCACAGCACCTAATCAAAACCTATTCCTTACTGATTGTTAGGGGCAACATGTTCACTTTTACTTTTCTGGGGTGTTTAAAAAACAAAGCCTGCAGTCCCCTGTTATAAGCCATCTTAGGCTAGTAGAGGTCTCCTAAAATGTCATGTAGTAGACCTGGGCCACTCATGCATGATGGATTTTGCACATTTTTTTAGGAAGCATCTGACTCATAATAGCCATATTTTCCTTGATAGCTACATGCACTAGATGTCTGACCAACTTTCCATAGCTTGTTGGCTGCAGTCGCTCATTAAAGCATCATGAGTAGGATGTCCTGGGTAATTGTCAAGGAAATTCCACCAGGCCTGTGTTTATGTCTGATGCCTATGTCCTAAGGTGACCTATGGTGTGAGAGTCTGACACTTGTTTTAGGCAAAGAAATGGCTTTCTCGCATGAATTACAGTTCGAAAGAGTTTGAGATGTGCGTGCTATCACTAGTTTATATATTGTAATATTTTGCTGTTTCCCTTCTAAGTCAGTTATTCACCTTGATTATTTTCATTTTTCAACTTGCAGGACAAGAGACTGAGGATCTTTGATGTTCGCAAGAGCACAGGAGCCAGCCAGGTACTGACCCGAGACATGAAGGAACTGTCAGATGATGTTACAGTGATATGCAGGATGGGGGAGATCCGGGGTGTCAGGAGAACAGAGAGCTCGGTAACATGGATTGTACTCCATGTTATGTCCCATAGCAGATCTCATTGTGCTGCGATCTCAGACATGTGACTACACGCTGCCACCTCCCTCAAAGAAATGTCACACATAGATAAGATTCACACAGCATGTCACAACAAGGTAGAGCCATTCATGTGAGGACCGGCTGCTAGTCACTGGCTGTCTCTTTCCTTTGTTATTTGATGACCATTTATAAATGTGTAATTGTGCAGCACGCACTTTACTGTAAGTACAATTTGAGGTCTGTAAAACCTGAGACTTGCAGCTGTTATGATAATCCTTTGCAAAATTCATTTATTTTGGGCAATTTTATAGTGCCAGTATATTGCTATGTGCTTTAAAGAACAAGTTACCTTTAAAGTGACACTAAACTCAGGAGTTTAACCATAAAAATACATTCACGTACCTTAACTATTAACAAAAATGTATCTTATTTGTGTATCACTCGGCTGTAGATCCTCAAATCATCTCTGAATTGGTGCTGACACTTTCCTTCCTTCTGGAGGGTGGCTACTTTTGTTCCCCATGGTCCCTGTGTGTGTTTATAAGGTAGCCACCACTCCAAGCTCACATCCATGGTGGACTACAATCTCAATACAAATGAGTAAACTAAGCATGAGATTGTAGTCCATCACAGGAGCGAGCTTGGAGCGGTGACTACTTTACAACACACACTGGGACAATGGGGAAAACTAGCCACCGTCCAGAAGGAAGGACAGTGTCAGCAACAATTCAGAGATGATTTGAGGATCTACAGCCGAGTGATACACAAATAAGATAAATTTTTGTTAATAGTTAAGGTATTTGAATGCATTTTTAAGGTTTACCTCTTGAGTTTAGTGTCACTTTAAGTGTTCCCCCCCACTCAACTCACCTGAGTGGCAGCCATCTAGAAAAATACTTACCTTCAGACCTGCAGCCGAGTTTTCCCTATGGCTGGGGCCGTACTCCTCTGGGTGGATGGGAGCTGCCATAAGTATGGACCAGCAGAGTGCAGAATTTAAATGGGTGACGAAGGTAAGTGGTGTCTTCCACTCATGGAGGAGTAAGGATGACAGGTGTACCTTTTTGTATAAAAAAAAACCCCTGTTCAGGTTCCCCCATCCCCCAGGTAAATTTTCCTCTGGGCCTGTGCTGATTTGGGCAAGCGCGACTAGAGGTTCTATATAGATGAATGGGAGAGCAGCCCAACTCTGTCTGATGCAGGGTAGAACCAGGCAGTGTAAAACAGAACTGTGCTGCGTCTGAAGTCTGATTTTAGGTATAATATAAAAGCATAGGTTGGGGTAACATCACAAGGTTTTATAGAAAGAAGCATCGGTACCTTAAAGAGATCCTGTCACCAGCCTAAAATTTAGCAGATAAAAGCACAGAAAAATCATGTATTTTAAAGGCATACTTAGTGTTTTTTATTTTTCATAAATAATGTATTATTACCGTTGATTGTACCTTTGCACTTGCTAGAAGCTCCAGAAGGAGTTAATCCCCTAGCACAGCCCCCTACGACCTTGCATGTCACAGTCCTTTCCTCTTGTAGGAGTGTCTAATTACTGTCTGTGCTGGTCAAGCTCCTCAGTCCCTCTCCTCACCTCCCTACATAACCGTTTATGTGGCTGCTGGGGGAATGGGAATACTATAGAGCAGCCTTTCTCAACCAGTGTGTTGTGACACCCTGGGGTGCCTTCTGGCTTCTTTAGGTTGGGCTTTAGCATCGTGCTTTTCCATGGTGCAGGCAGGCTTCTGATGTGAAAGTAGTGGGCTCCAATGGCAAGGGGGCTGCTAGTGTGAGAGGGAGTACTCTAATGTGAAATGAGGAAGCTCTTGATGTGAAGGGGACTCCTAATGTAAGGGGCGGGGAGGGAGACCCTGATGTAAATGGGAATGCTGATGTAAGGGGGGAGGACCCCCCTTTTACATCAGAGTTCACCTGTACATCAGGGTCTCCCTCCCCGCCCCTTACATTAGGAGTCCCCTTCACATCAAGAGCTCCCTCCTTTCACATCGGAGTACTCATTTTCACACTAGCCAATAATTGTTTGCCTATTACTCCTTTATTGTTTGCATAACCGGGGCCAAGACGGGGTGTTTCCTTTACTTACATTCTTTGTGCTTAAGCAGAGGTGGGCAAACTCCTGTAGTTTCAACTCGGTGTTGAAATTACAAATCCCATCGTGCATCTGTCTCTGGGAGTTATGTCTGTGGCTGTGAGAATCATGCAATGCCTCATGGGATTTGTAGTTCTACAGTAGCTGGAGGGCCGGAGTTTGCTCACCCCTGTTCTTAAGGGTGTCCTTCTTTCTCATCCCTGAAAGTTGAGAAGCATGGAAAGGCAGAGATTGCTTCTGATGTACAAATTAGATTTCATGCTACTTCTTTTTGTCACCACCAGGGGGCACCCCCTATACATGTTAAAGGGAACCTGTCATCACGGCTGATATCACTCACAGATCAGGCTCTCATCCAGCTCTGCAGTTTCCAAACTCCCTAAAGTGTGGGGCAAAACACTTAAAGTGACATGTCTGCCCTGAATCGAGCACTTCTAAAGAGATTAGTGCAATTGCAGTCTGTTGTGTTGGATCAGAGCTTTAGCTTTGACAGGTAGCCTTTAAGGCAATTATGTTTTTAAATGTAATTATCTTTTAAATGTTATAGATAGCTGAAGGGGGTAACATAAAACAAATGTGAGATGGGTATGTAGATCAGTACTGAGCTTGGTTCTTTTCAATCATTTTATCAGTGCTAGGTGGATGGAAAAAGAGTAAAGAGTTTGTTTTTGCCGGTGACAAACAAATAATATAGAAATTATAAAGCTCAGTAGGATTGCAGCATGTTACAAAAGGATCTTGACATAATGGCATCATGGGCTGTTATATGGGAAATTACATTTAATGTTGATTGGTGTAAGGTTATACACCTAGACCATGCTTATTGTATTACTTCCTTTACATTAAAGAGACACTGTCACCTTGCCCATTCAGGTCTTTACAAAGGGTTCCTGACCCCCGATGCTCACCTTGCCAGCACTTCCCCCTTGTTCCCTTCTGCGTCACAGCTGGCACTAAAATCCTCAGCGTTGGCTGGTGTTGGACGCTATGGGGAGCAGTGACTTCACTTTTTTGTCATGTCACAGTGCTCAGATCTTGCAGTTGTCTGATAGACCTGAGCACTATCACAGAGGAGGAGGTCACATGTCTCCCATCTCTAAAAGCACCCGATATTGACCCCGGCTGCAATGGAGGAAGAAGCTGCAGTAGAGCACTGGCTAGGTGAGTATGGTGGACCGTTTTTAAAGACTGGAATGGGCAAGGTGATAATGTTTCTTTAAAAAGAATACATTTGAACATAACAGACCTGAAGAAGGTACTGAGAATACCCGTTATCAATAAACTAGACAGTATGGCCCAATGCCTAGCGGCAGATGCAGCCGAAAACTTGGGATGTATAAAAAGGTGCAAAATAAACATGTGATGTGACTAGTATTGCTCCTGTAAAACTCAATTGTAGGGTTGCATCTTAGATATGGAATATGGTTTTGGGTACCTTATGGTAAAAAGTTGATAAATCATTCAGTCCCCATTCACACTTGCCGCGTGTGTGCGCCAAAGCGTGCACCTGGGTAGGAGAGGGTACAGAGCAGTTTAGTAAAGAGGTATTAAAGATGTCACTTACAATGAAATGTTTAAAAAACTACCCTTGTTTAAGGCTCCATTCACACTTCCATTTACACTTGAGTGTCGGCGTCTTTGGCCATTTTGCACACATTTGTAGGCTTGAGTATTTTTGTTTTCGCCATTGGAAAGCTATTTTTGAAGTTGTTAGGCACTTCCATTGAAGTCTGTTGGGGCCAAATACTCTTAATCTTGCCCCAAAAATGCTCCTGTGTTTTTGCTGACTCCAGATGTGACGGGCACAATAGAATACCATGAAAATGTGTCGAGTGTTGTAGCGCTTCTGGAAGCAAGCTTCAAATCGCTTGGCTGTGAATGGGGGCTAATGGGGAAAATCCACAGATCTAATCTGACTGCGGCGTCTCAGTATACCGCGAGCTTTGGGTGGCGGGAGGGCGCTAGTTTGTGTACTCTCGTTACCCTAAGGAGAACTATGGGGAAAAGCCTAACCCCATAGTTCTCCTTTAAACATGATAGGTTATATTATGGACTCAAAAATGGCAGAAATGACCAGTGATTCATTACTTGCTGTGTAGTTTATAACCAAAAGCAGCGAATCAGTCCGAAAAAAAAAAAAAGCGGTTTTGCTGATTCAGTGATGTTGGTTATACCCTACACAGCAAATGAGTGGTCCCTAATACTACATAAAAAGAAGTGGAAGGGCTAGGAGCCCCCCAAACACTTTTGCTTTCTGCATTTTCATACTCATTCCATTATTAAACATTTTTGAACTCTCATACTGGCACTCCCATTGGACTGTATATATGCGTATATCTTCAACCCTGTATTCCCTTATATATGGGACATCCCATCTTTGTTGAGAACCATTGTGCTTTATCATATCCCGATCAGGACACTATCTGCAAGGGGTTTGCATGTTCTCCCTGTGCTTGTATGGGTTTCCTCCGGGTACCCCAGTTTCCTTTCATACTCCAAAGACATGCTGGTAGGTTTTTTGGCTCCTGTCTAAATTGGCCCACCATGTATGCATGTGAGATAGGGACCTTAGATTGTAAGCTCCTTCAGGGCAGGGACTGATGCGCACTATGTAAAGCGCTGCGTAAAATTGTCGGGTCTATATAAATACCTGTAATAAATAATAAAATCAATTGCGTTCTGACCGATTTGAATCTTGAGCCTCACCTGTACTTGTTCCAGAGACAACAATACTGACTGCAAACTATGCACAGTGCCACTCACAGTACCTTTTAGGAGAGTAAT